TTGACTGAAATATATTAGGGATGCACAATTAGTTCCCATGTTATGGGAAATCAATTTATTCACTGGCACAGGATTTGGTTCAGGTACTTGCTGTGAAGTATAATTTGTGATTCATTATGGTGGTGGTGTGTGTGTTTTTTTACAGGAAAGTAAATGACCCAGAAAAGATGTATAATCCAGAAGGCAGAAAAACAGAAGTGGTGCTCAAGCAACTGCAATGGTATTCTTTCAGTATCTCAATGGCTTGATAATATTTTGCCCACTAGAATTAAATCTGTAGGGTCCTTGAAAAAGCTCACAGTCATTATTAATTGCAATCTCACTTTTGATGTCAGAAAGTGCAGCACTGGAAGTACCTGTGGTCAAAACACAGCCTTGTCTCATGCTGATCAAAGGGCTTCCCCTCTTAAACCCTGCCTTGCCCTTTTATGGAACTACTTGATAGCATAGCAAGGAAATGTTGAAGTAGCTTCCATGGGATAACTTCTGGGGATTTTTAGTGATAAATATTTACAAAGGAAGCTAGTATAAAATTGAGTGCAATTCATTTTATTTGCTTGCGAGATTGCTATACAGTTACATGTTGCTGCCCTAGTCCAGTTATTTGCAGTGGCCTCTTCTTCCTTTTTACTTAGGTGGAAACTCTATACAGACATCTTGCACCTGGAACTATCCCACCACTGAATTGCAAATAAGTAAGCTCCATTTTCACCTTAAAAGTACACAGGGCCCCGGAAAGCAGATTTACTGCGAACTGGATTGCTGGTTTCTTTATGATACTCCATTTGAGGAATGAGAACACAAACCAAACCCCAAAAACTTGGAGGCAATTCGAATGTTTTCAGCCCTGGGTGAATACCTTTATATTCTTCCCAGACTTTCAAAAGGCCTCAATCGGTTTTTTATTTTTATTTTTTGGTGGAATGCTACTTATATATTTTTGCTATTTTTCTATTCCGTGATTTTTGTGTCTGCAGGTACTCACTAGGTTCTCCCCCTATTGCACACTGACACTCACAGCACTCTTTTAAAAAAAAGTGCAGGTAATAGTGACCATTATATTTACAAACTGCACTGGAAGCTGATGTTGAAGAGCAGTATACCATAGATCTTTCCTAAGAAATACAATATACCAACAAATGAGGAACAAGCAGATTCCATATGAATATGCCTATAGAACCTTTTAATGAGGGTGAAAGAGGAGAGCGCAAAATATGGTCTGAAGCTCAACATAAAAAAAACGAAGATCATGGCCACTGGTCCCATCACCTCCTGGCAAATAGAAGGGGAAGAAATGGAGGCAGTGAGAGATTTTACTTTCTTGGGCTCCATGATCACTGCAGATGGTGACAGCAGCCACGAAATTAAAAGACGCCTGCTTCTTGGGGGCAATAACAGGCCTAGACAGCATCTTGAGAAGTAGAGACGTCACCTTGCCAACAAAGGTCCGTATAGTTAAAGCCATGGTTTTCCCAGTAGTGATGTATGGAAGTGAGAGCTGGACCATAAAGAAGGCTGATCGCCGAAGAATTGATGCTTTTGAATTATGGTGCTGGAGAAGACTCTTGAGAGTCCCAGGGACTGCAAGAAGATCAAACGCATCCATTCTTAAGGAAATCAGCCCTGAGTGCTCACTGGAAGGACAGATCGTGAAGCTGAGGCTCCAGTACTTTGGCCACCTCATGAGAAGATGCTGGGAAAGATGGAGGGCACAAGGAGAAGGGGGTGACAGAGGACGAGATGGTTGGATAGTGTTTTCGAGGTTACCAGCATGAGTTTGACCAAACTGCGGGAAGTAGTGGAGGACAGAGGTGCCTGGCATGCTCTGGTCCATGGGGTCACGAAGAGTCGGACACGACTAAACGACTAAACAACAACAAAATGCCTATAACAAGTTTTCTTTTTTTACACACACACTCATTTAATCCACGGGTAGGGCTCAGGCAAATCCCAACAAGGCCTGTGAGCATCTTTTGTAGCCATGAGAGAGGCAGGCATCAGCATTCACAAACATGTGCAACACTGGTGCTGGGATGAGCCATAGAGCTATTTAAACCTCAGACAGGCTCCTCTCATGTCTCTTTGGATTATCAGGGACTGCCCACCCCACCCTTGTTCACCCTGTACTCGATGTCAGAGGGCATTAAGGGCCCAATGGGGCAGTGTCTTTAAACAGATGAATTAATCACATTTGGCAGGAAAGTGTAGGAAACAGGTGCACCCTGAGGCAGATTCTGATGGGTGTCCCCAGAGACCAACTGCTAGGAGCTGTGCGGCCCTTCGCCTGCATATGGAACATATTTGAGGCTAATCTGCCTCACCTGCCTGGAGTTGTAGGGCCCTGGCTGGGGTCAGAACGAGCTCTCCATGCACCCTAATAGTCCGGGTAAAGGGATCATTTTCCTGTTTGTGTCCCTTGCTTGGGGACACAATTTGGCATCTGATATAGTTTGGTTGTCCACACTGTTTATTATCAATGTAGCTGTTTAAATAAAATGTGGCCCATGTTCTACTGTGTGTCTTGCCTCTTCTTTCCTGGTTCCTGGTTCCTGTCGCAAGAGCTTTACTCCATGTAAATTTACACCATGTGGATTTTTCATAAACATTTCCTTCTATCAGCAGTGACAGATTGTAGATGAAGCAACTTCAATCTAATTTGTGTCACTGTTTGTTTTTTTCTTGTGAGCATGCATTGCTTTAGATGGCAATAGATGTATCTCATACTAGGAATGAGTCTGTCAGTGGTGTTTATTTTCTCCGTTCTTGTTCACCTTCAATATTAAATGGTACCATCTCTGAATAGCAAGATGAGGACTTGTTTGAATTCAGAGGACTGTCACAGCAGTCTTAAGCTGACAGGAATTCAAGAGGTGGCCACTTAACCTTATTTGAATGGGATGAGAAACTGGATCTCAAGACTAACAATCAAATTCATTAAAAGGAATTGTACAGTTTATGGATATAGCTTTGTGAGGAAGTAGGTTGACTTACAGCTCAAGCGGCCTTGGTGTGAGAGCAAGGATGTATTCTGAGTTAAAATAAGAAAACAAATTTTCTCTGTGTTGATAATTTCAGAGTTCCCCCCTGCCCTCCATACTAATGAGCTAGCGCTGTGAACTTTCTGAAATATTAGTTGTTTTCACATTTCAGATTATATATGGTGCCTTTTAGTGAACAAAAATAATGAGGTCTTAATTTGTCAAAAGCTGATCCACATTTAATTGCTTCAAGTTAGTTTTAGGGGTGTTTCTGAGTTTTACCATCACAGCTACTTAAGGGCACTGGCTTTGCACATATAAAGGCCTCAAGTTCAATGTGTGACATTTTGGGTAGTGGACTAGGAAAGGCCCCAATTTGGAAAATTGCTACCAGTCAGACTACTGATCGAATGGGATGGGATTCTAAATATATCATCAGAAACAATGTCAGGCTTAAAAAGAATTAAAAGGCATAGGAAAGCCTTGGTTTTCATCCAGACTGTAGAATATGAGGAAAGTTTAACCCCTTCCTCCCAGCCACTATCCAACAGGTAGATCGCGATCCACTGGTAGATCGTGAGGTGTCCGTGGTAGATCGCGGGACCCTTCCCACCACCCAAATGTTGACTTCCCCAAAAAAGCTCAACAACTTTGGTAGATCACTGCCAGGTTTTTTTTATAGTGGGAGTAGATCTCAGTCTCTTGAAAGTTGGACATGCCTGATCTAGATCATAGCTAAGGAGGGAAAGGTTAACCCCCTACATGCTGTCATCCTAGTGAAAAATAACCCATGCTCCTACGTTTACAATTATGATTATTAAACTCATTTTAGCTTCTAAAGACACATTTCTAATGACACAGTTGGCTCCAAGTATAACTGTGCTACAAGTACAAATGGTCTCTCATGCCAGAGAAATTTATTTTGGAAACGAATAATTCAAAAGTTATATTCACTAGAAACTCCATCCTCCCTCCCCCCCTAAAAAAGAAAGAAAAAGAATATTGAACACCAAGAAGAAATGACAGTTATCTTCATTATCCCCTTTCCAGAGAAATCTGGGTGGCTAGATTCCACTGCTGGAGTCAAGGGGGCTGAGAGGCTGAGCTAGCCAGACCTTTGTTCTGCTTTTGCAAGCCATTAAAAATATATACTCAAGTTCTGAAGCACAATCCATAGAGAATTAAAGCAGGGGGAGCAGTATTGGTCAGAAATGAGAGGCATTTTTCTTCAAGAAATATATCGTTACTATTCAACAAAGTGGATTTTTTAAATAAAAAGAGCCATTATGAATCCAACTTCTTTCTAGGCCAAGAAAACACACATCCATTTTAGCAATGTGATTCATGCAAAAAGACCTTCACAAGCAGCTTAAGCAATTGGCACCCCGACAATTATGTAGACAAATGTGGGCACTATGGCAAAGGGCGAATTTGCAAAGCTGGTTTCTCAGAAAGCTTCCTGGAAACAGTGGGAACTGGTTGGCTACATTGCCATTAAACCATAGCTTGAAATTGAACTATGGTTTAACGTGACATGTAAAGTACCTCCGTGTTTGAGCACGCATCTTCAGATACCTTGCCCTCCTAGTCAGCAGCAGACCGTTTGAGAAGGATGGTGGAAGGAACGACAGGCTGCTGTCCTTCCACAGAAATGAGGTGGAGAAAAAGGAGCAAGGGACAGCCTCTCTTAGAGTTCTGCAAATCAGAAAGAGCATCTCACTACCACCAGTTCCGACAAACTTTACAGCTCTGGCTCTGAATGCCAAATTAGGGACTTGGGAAGGAGAGTCCACACATACCAAAATAAAAGTATATGCTCATTTTAAAATGCAATAATTTGAGATTTAATGTTCAGTGGAAAATGATAAAATAACTACTGCAATTAATTAGAGGGTAAGATGGTTATTTTAGTCATATTAAGCTTCCATTCATATGCTGCAGCAGAACTTTGAATTAGTTAAATTACCATTGTAAAATGGCATATTAAAAGTGAGACATGGTATTTGAAATAAAACAGGAATGTACACATAAAATCAAAGAGCCTGAAATTATTTCTCTTTGATTCAAACCTTTTTTTTTATTAAAGTATGAATGCCTTTACATTGCAGAATTGTTTACATACATTGGAAAGCAATAAGCATATTATTTTCAAGAGGTGCAAGTCCTCCTCAGTATGTTCCCATGATCAATCTACATGCTGTGACACTGATCGCACACGCAGACACACATACACACACTCACACAAACATACAAAGTATACATATTCACACACAATGGAACAGACCGCTAGAGCTATCTGCTTTGATTAGCTTTCTTTTAAGGCTTCTGTAAGGTGCCCTCGTGCCCCTAACATTACCACGATTTATGAACAAGACTATATGTATAAAGGAGCAGCGTTATCTGCAACCTATTAATCAGCACTTGGCCTTTGAACATTATTTTTTTTAAAAAAAGAAACAAATAAACAACTTTCTCAAGTTATGAACCCTTTCATCTGTGACCAGAAAAGGGTTCTGGAAATATTAGTATGAGGTTTTGAATCACAACATATAATCTGCTTCCAAACCTGATCCCTTTCCACTGTAAGACACCCTGTGATCAAACTGGACATAAGAAATGATACCCAAGGAAGTGGGGGCAATATGGACATAGCTGGTGGCAAGACTGCTGTGGAACTAAGGGTCTCATACCATGCCAGAACTGAGGGAAAGCATGTGAGGCAGCTTAACTATTAACTATCCAGGATCTTTAATTTGAAGCTATTTATATACTGCTTAATTACCAAAGTTTATCATTAATTACCAAATTACAATCTCTCACAATCTTCAGCAGTGGTTCGATCGTCCCAGGCATTCAAAAACAGTTCACAATCAGGTCCCCCAGCTCCCCAACCTGCCTTCTGGTATCCCTGCAAGTTTGTATTTAAAAACTATAGGGCTAAAGTGGAAAATGAGTGGCTGCAGGTACATTAAAAAGGTAAAATAAATAAAATAAAATATAGCATATGATTATAGTGTGTAAATATAAGCATCTCTGAATATTCAAACTGTGAAATGTGAGTTTATGTAGATTTTCAGGCTGTTAATCTAAAAGACGGCAGGTAGCTACTTCAATCTGGAGACGGTCAACAGGATTAGCAGTAGGCCACCAAATTGTATTTTCTTCTCTAGAAATGGATCCCATTTGCAACTGTATTAAGACTCTAGCAACAAATCCTAGAGGATTCTATCATGAGAATTGTTCACTTGTTTCAACAAGCAAACTGAAATAATTTATTATCTTTATGAGACGAGCCTGAACTGTGAGGGCCAAAATGGGGCTGGAAGCTGTGGTTGAAGGTAAAATGGAAACACAAGTAAAAATGTTTTGTCACATTTTTAAACAGCAGCAGCAGATTTCAATGTGGTGCAGTTACTATAAAGATGCATATATTTTAGGGAATTTACTGAATTGCTTCTTTATTTTGAAAAGCTGATCAGTCACATGTTGGGCGCCCCATCACTTCCACATTGAACTGTTGCTTATTCATCTATATGCTTCTATTCCCAGGGCCATTTTCTGCTTTTGCTTAACCAGTAATGAGTTCAAGTCAGCCATCGTCAGATTCCAATTCTTGAGACATTTCTTCAGATGAGCTATTCCTGTGGATCCGTCCATCGCTCTTCATGCTATGGAAAGTCTTCTTAAAGGCCTCCATCATGGCATGAGCCAACTTCTTGGCCTCTAACTTGCTCTCACACTCTACGGCATGGCAGTCCATTTGGTAGGACAAATCATCGTTGATCTCCCGATAAACCCAAGCAAAAATGTTTGGGCTGACATTGTGGTCGGCAGTGCAGTAAGCAATACGTGCAACTTGAAAGGTATCCATGTGGACAGTGGCCTCTCCTTTGAGGTCCAGATGATGAAGCCAAACTTGGAAGGGGCGGATTTCCAGAAGGGCATTAGCTGAGAAGATGTCCTCTCTGGCAAGCGTGTGCTTCTTCCACAACTCAATGACTGGTTTCTCCGTGCAACCTGACAAAAACTGCATCCCTGTTGTGGAAACTTTTCCCAAATATGTAACCTAAGAAAAGGAAAAGAAAGGAAAAGACAGTTTGTCAGCGGAAGTCTTTGGAATTTCAATTTCAACATGTTGTGATCTTTACACAGAACACCATTAGCATCACTTGAAAACTGTAGACCTATCTCAGCTCAAGCAATTTTTAGCTTGGGATTTTCAAAGTCTAGGTGACGTTGAATTAGAACTACTGAATTCACAGTACATTCAAATATTGCATCGCCTGATAATTCTATTAAAAAGCTGAAGTTTCAGCTACTGAGTACATTCACATTAGTTTTGCAATGATAAAAATGTGCCTATTTTGTCTTCCAATTAGACTTATGTACGTATCACACAAGAATACAAATATCTGAAGCAGCATTTTCAAGTCTGAACTTATGTCTGCCTATCTTCCAATGATTGCTTCTAAATGTAGAAGTACAACAGAAGATAAGCACTCTCTTTCTACTAGCTCTCAAATTTTATTCCTGTAATAGTGCTAAAATAATACATTCCAAGTGAACTGGTGTAACACAGTGAGTTAATTATACAATGTTGTGCATGTTTAATCAGAAGCAAAGCTCAATGAGTTCAAGAGGGCTTGCACTTACTTGGGAAGTGTTTTAGGACTGCAGCCTAGGACATGCTTAGTTAGGCATTATGCTTGAACAGGGAATCCTAATCAAAGTATGAGGCACTGAGTGGGAAGGTTTGAAGATAGTCAAACACACATAGAGACCCCCTTCAAAGCTTCTCACTCAACGTGGGAAGGTCAGAGCAAGCAGGAATGGCATACACAGCTCTATGTTTCCTATTCATGCTGGTATTCTGTGTTCAGAGGTAATGCCTAAACAAGCTACAAAGAGCTGCAAATCTGAACGCTCGTGGTTCGGTTCTTGTTTCTACCACCAAGCAGAAACCCATTAGGCGGGTCTCTGGCAAACTGCTCTCTTTCAGTCTCAACAATACAGTGGTACCTCGGGTTACATAGGCTTCAGGTTACATACGCTTCAGGTTACAAACTCCGCTAACCCAGAAATAGTGCTTCAGGTTAAGAACTTTGCTTCAGGATAAGAACAGAAATCATGCTCCGGCGGCGCGGCGGCAGCAGGAGGCCCCATTAGCTAAAGTGGTGCTTCAGGTTAAGAACAGTTTCAGGTTAAGAACAGACCTCCGGAATGAATTAAGTACTTAACCCGAGGTACCACTGTATGGGGATAATACTCATCCACTTCACAGAGTTGTTATAAAAACCACAGAATGATGTTAAAAGTGCTCTACAGATGCTAATAATTATTATTATGTACATTGTGTTGTCTTTTTCAACATCTCAAATTAAAATATGATCCGTAAAAATAACCAGATGGGCAGGGTAGAAATAAATTATTCTCACTACTACTACTACTACTACTACTACTACTACTACTACAACGGCCCAGTTCACAACTCTAAAATATATAGTTTGGATCTAGTTAGTTACAAAGTCGACCTAAGCAATTGCTTTAGGGTACCAGAATCTTAGGGGAAGCAGTGAAGTAGCAGCAGATGCTGCATATGACAGAGTTCACTGGGAGTTTTGAAAGCAAAGTGGAAAGGAAATAGAGCCATAGCTAGTGCTGGAGGAGAGAGGGTCAAAAAGGGTGAAAGAGAATGGTATAGATAGAACAGGATCTGGGCACAGAGATACATGCATGGCCAAGAGTTCTGCTTCATCTCTGGAAGAGGTTTGTGCTGGTGGGAAGCGGTTGGCATCATTTACCTATCCAGTCTTGGCCAAATTTTGAAATCGTGTTCTTTAACAATGAGTTACAAATAACATTTTTGTGCAAAGTGAGGGTGACAAAAAGCTATTTAAGTCTAACATTATGCCTCCAAATACGATTTGCCAGGCCATATAGCTTTGAACCAAACATGACACTATAATTGTGCAAGTACAGTTAATTTTTGGGTTAAGTAAACAGCAGCCTTTGTGATGCAGGAGTAGTTTTAGGACCATTAGGGGAGAGGAGGGGGATTTTTCTGTCCCTGAAAAAATCCTCTGAAATGCAAACAACATTTTTGGAGAAGCTATTTTTGTCAGACCACAGCAGAAGCAGAAAGAGGCTACTATATTAAACATGTGCTCATTAATTGCATTCATGTAATTAGCATAATGGTTTGTTTGGTCCATAGATGTACTGCTACTCTTTTTTATGGGGTCTACTCTTTCCACATCCCAAGCAACTAACTGCTGTAAGAGTTCACTATAATTTTTTCTTTTCTATTTTTTGGCTTTAAAAAGTTCCTCATTATAAAAATAGCTTTGAACAGCAATGTGTTTACATTGTGCAAAATCATTAAATAATAATGTAACATACAAGGACTCAGGATGAAAACAACTCTCAGAGTTTCTGCGGGAGTTGTTCGTGTCACACTCAGAGACCCAAATAATTAAGAATAAGCTTACAAAATATTATTGGAAATTCATCCTGGTTCATTCCCTCTCTGCCAAAATGCAAGGAAATCACAAAATGAAAAGCCTTAAAAAGTCTTCTGTAACGTCACACCTATAAGCATCTTACCTTTGGGGCAACACAGGGAATTGCAACAGCTAAAATTGTTAACAAGGCTCTAGATCTTTAGTTCCTATCGCTACTCTAATCAATTAAGCTTCCATAGCCTTATGGTGTTACTAAGAGTTCAAGCGGTTCCCTTCCTGTCCCCTCCGAACAGTCTCACAGATGCTGAAGTTGTTGTAGGTTTTCGAATCTATAGTTTAGAAAATAAGATAAATCTATAAACTGCCATGTTTGTAACCTTCAGCTTATTCTCTGCAGAGCCAATCCAATACATTTCATTCTAATAATAATAATAATAATAATAATAATAATAATAATAATAATAATAAAATAATAATAATAATAAATTTTTATTTATACCCCGCCCTCCCCAGCCAAGGCCGGGCTCAGAGCAGCTTACAAGCAATAATAAAAACAAGAAGAATGATTACAACTTAAAAACAAAAATAAAATACAACATTAAAATAATGGAACATTAAAATATTAAAATGTAGCCTCATTGCAGGAGGAGAAGGAAAAGAAAAAAGAAAGAGAGGGAGGGAGGGAGGGAATCAAATTGGCTCCAAGCCAAAGGCCAGGCGGAACAACTCTGTCTTACAGGCCCTGCGGAAAGAAATCAGATCCTGCAAGGCCCTGGTCTCATGAGGCAGAGCGTTCCACCAGGCTGGAGCCAGAGTTGAAAAGGCCTTGGCTCTGGTTGAAGCTAATCTAACTTCCTTAGGGCCACTAGGGTGTTGCTATTTATGGACCTTGAGGCTCTCCGTGGGGAATACCGGGAGAGGCGGTCCCGTAGGTACGAGGGTCCTAGGCCGTGAAGGGCTTTAAAGGTCAAAAGCAGCACCTTAAATCTGACCCTGTACTCCACCAGGAGCCTTACACGAGTTACCCAAAAGAAGTTTGATACTACAAACAGCAGTATGCATTGGAAGGCTTCTCTGAAGTCCATGACAATTGTTGACCATGGAGGACTCAGCCCTCAGAGGCAAGGCCAGATTAAGGTGGTGGGGCCCACTGGTCCAATCGCCAAAATAAGGCAGCTTCTCCCCAAAAGGAGCACATGAAATACAGTACCACAGAATTAGTCTTGAGGTATCTTAACAGACTAAAATATTTATTAAGGCATAAGGTTTTGTGGGCTACCAAAAAAATTACTTTTGAGACTGAAGAGTTTAAAAATTCTGAAACATAAACAAGAAACATTTTGGCTATCTTATGCAGCGTACGGCTCTTACACTGAACATAAAGGTAAAGGTAAAGGGACCCCTGACCATTAGGTCCAGTCATGGCCGACTCTGGGGTTGCAGTGCTCATCTCGCTTTATTGGCCGAGGGAGCCGGCGTACAGCTTCCGGGTCATCTGGCCAGCATGACTAAGCCGCTTCTGGCAAACCAGAGCTGCGCACGGAAACGCCGTTTACCTTTCCACCGGAGCGGCACCTATTTATCTACTTGCACTTGGCGTGCTTTCGAACTGCTAGGTGGGCAGGAACAGGGACCGAGCAACGGGAGCTCACCCCGTCATGGGGATTCGAACCACCAACCTTCTGATCGGCAAGTCCTAGGCTCTGTGGTTTAACCCACAGCACCACCCGCGTCCCATACACTGAACATAGTGGGACTTAATTCTGAGTAAGCATACAAGGGGTGGCACGACACAGATTGAGTACATAAGAAATTACAAGTTGCAAACGTTTGCATGTTACCACAGATTTTTCTCATTTCTATAACATCAGAAATATGGATCTTCCAGTGAAATTGAAAGGGAGCAGTAGGTTCAAAAGTGAAATAATTTCTTCACACAGCACATCATGTGGTGCTGGCCACTGGCTTGCACACCCTTTTAAACGTGTTTAAGCAAAGCAGGGTTTGAGACCCAAAGCCCTTTCCTGTTGTAGCCTCCACAACTTCAGGTGATTTAGAGGGAGACTGTCTCTGAACCTGGAGGTTCTATATACAGTTCTGGCTATATACTTGTATATTCCATATACAGTCATGCCTTGGAAGTCGAACGGAATCCGTTCTGGAAGTCCATTCAACTTGCAAAACATTCAGAAACCAAGGTGTGGTTCCTGCAGCCAATCGGAAGCCGCGTCGGATGTTCAGGTTCCAAAGAGCATTCACAAACCGGAACACACACTCCTGGGTTTGTAGTGTTTGGGAGCCAAAACGTCCGATTCACAAGGCGTTCGGGATCCAAGGTACGACTGTACAAGCTTTCCATCTCCAGGTTTGGATGATGTCTACCTTTGATTATACTGAAGGAAGAGAGAAGAACAACAGAACAGGGGTTTTGGCCTCATACCCTGTGTATAAGCTTCTTGATGCATCTGGTGACATTGTGGAAAGCAGGATAATGGACTAGATGACCTTTGGATTGATCCAGTCTGGTTACTCTTATATTCAAAGGAACTCCCCCATCACCACTATTTAAAATAAAATATTTGTTTTTATTTATGGTTTGCCAATT